CCAAAGCACAGTGCCCTTAACGCGCACTAAACCCACACTATCTCCAGGACTGCTCCAGAGCGCTATTCCAGGCTTAGTGTATCCCATCATGCATCATGTTCTGGAAAGACTCTTAGTGTTTGAATTTGAAGTTGAATTTAAAACACAAAGTATTTAAAATAAAAAATAAAGCTATGTAAACACTTGCATTTTTACAACACTATAAGTGTGTCCCATCAGGTGATGAAAAGTTCTACACACACTTGTGGTCTTAAAAGGCCCAAAGACCGCAAGTGTGGGTATTTGGACAAAGTAACTGATGCATCACAACACTGAGCAGCCAGACGTGTCATCATCTGACTCGACCAATGATGTGTGTTTGGGGCGGGGCTGTCTTTTAGGCTGACCAATGGCAGACGGAGTGTTTGTGGATACTAGGGCTGCGACGATAAATCGATGCAGAATTGATTCGTGGATGGATTCTGAGATCTTCTGAATGCATCGCGATTCTCTGGAATGGATTCTGAGCTTATATTTTAACAGCAGATGGCGCTCTACTCTAGTTTTTATCTGCTGACTCAAATGCTCATGAAGAAGAGCTGAAGAGCGCTTGTGCATTCAGCTGAGTCTGTAATTTCACCTCGGCTCAGAATGCTTTTATGACACCAGATTAATGTAAACAGCCCACTGTGAACACGCTTCAACCTTTTCGAATCTTATGAATGATTATTTTAGGTTCGAGTGTGTGTAAGGATTTGGAGACAAGCAGAGTTCGGATGTTTCTGAAGCATGCTGTGTTCAAAACTAAGCTCAGAATCGACTGGAGAAAGAATTGCGACGCATTCGGAAAATCTCAGAATCGATGCGGAATCATTTCTCAATTCGTGATGCATCGGTTTATTTTCCCAGCCCTAGTGGAAACCTGTCAGGAAATCATCAGTTCTGTTGGTGGAGCAGAAATGACGCACCGCAGCTTTAAAAAGAGTGACCTTGATCTCATTCAGCGCTGTGAAATAACTTGCAGACATGCCTGTTTTTTTTGCTTAATTCGTTTTTAATTGCCATTTTTTGATCTAGTGTTTCTCGTGTCCAGATCAGTGGGCTGCTGTTGTGCTGTGTTCAGTTTGAGTCACTCCACGTGTGTCTGATCTTGTTTGATCACTAGTGCTTCAGTGTGAGTGTGAGAGAGAGTGTGTGTGTGTGTGTGTGAGAGAGAGTGTGTGTGTGTGTGAGAGAGTGTGT